ATCGGTCTCTGAGTCTTCGAGCTCGATCTTGTTCCCGATCTCGATCTTGATCGGTCGCTCGATCTCGAGCCTGGCAACATATACTTCTCACCATGTATCGATATCATAATGATAATCCTCGGACCACCACGCTCCAATCTCGATTAGATATACGAAGGGCAAATTCGATTTTGACCGTATACAACTATATTTATACTTAATTGAGTTTATTTTATGTTCAGGTAGGTACTTTGGAGATGAAATTGGAAGCAAAATAAATATTTTAAAGTGTATTTTCTACACTACAATAATTAGCTCATGAGTATCTAATGATTAAAAAATTATGGCATAATGATGAGATGAAACAAAACAAAAATAAGGAAAGAAAGGTGAAAGATAAAATAAATAAAGTGTGGATTGATTACCTGGACGAGCAAAACGTGAAGCAGCACATTGAATCAAATGTTGGAAAGCAAGGGTTAGCGGCAAACTTACTGTTTTTGCGCCAGGGCCAGCGCCTCGGGCTGGCCTGGACCCTGCGTGATAGGGACTTGTCCTATTTCGTCCGGGCTTGATTATTTCGGTCCTACACATCCACAATTTGTATAAAAGGGATCCTAAACCTATTTTGGAGAGAGAATGCTTTTGAGAGTAACTTTTGATAAGGGGAGAGCATAGAGCCACCGTGGAGATCGGGTTTCATCTTTTCTTCCACCAAATTTTGTAATTTTTATATTTCTTTGTATGATCTATTGTTTTGCTACCATGTCAATGTGGAGCTAAACTTCATGTTCTAGGGTTGTGGTTCTTTCATGACTATTGTTATTTGGATATTGATTTTGCTTTCTTGATTTATCATATTGGTTTATTTATTCAATCTTGCGCTTAATTATTTAATTGCTTGATCACCAATTGAATACTATCTACAAATCTAGAGTTGAAACCGAGAGTGAGAATTCTAGATTGCACATAGGATTGAGTAGAGCAAATTCTTGACCCTGGGCATCGGAGAACGGATTTGCGGTTAGAATAGACATATACCTAATTATCTTGCTTGGTTGATGTACATGAATTATAAATGCGTTTTTGTCGGTTCTAATTCCATAGACATATAGGCGTTAGGTTAGCTTGAATAGGCGAGTAAGAACTCGACAGATTCTTTATTTTAATTAGTTAGAATCAAATGCTTCTCGGGTTTAATTCTTGTTTAGATAATTGGGATAACTTAATTTAGTTAATAGTTGATAACAAGTTATCGTGGGTTCGACACTCTATCTTATCACTTTATTACTTGACGACCGTGTATACTTGCGTGTGCGTTTGATCGCAACAACTTGTCAAAACAAATAGTATCAAAGACAAGGGTGGAGATAGCGTTTATAGTGGTGGTTCGGCCGACCCCAATAATGTGTTTGTCTTAAAAAAATTATTTGATATGTTCAGTTATTAATTTAAAAATCAATAACTTAAAAGAGATAAAATTTCAAACTCTAAACCTTCAAATTATAACTCCGCAAATTATTCAAACGTAGTTGTCAAAAAACAAATACGATTAAAAATCCAAAAAGGTCTGAATATTGGAGGGCCCTTACGTTTCTCCACATCTTATAGCCAGAAAAAAAAAATGCAAGTAATAATTAATTAACCATATATCCATGGCTGCCATCACTTTGGACTTTTTCTCTACTCTCCACAATTCAGGGAGCTGAAAGAAGCCAATCCTAGCTAGATTGGAACTTGACAGATCTAGCTATCCTAAAAATTAGTCAGTCCTTTTTTCCAATTGCGCAAAAAGCAAATAAAATCAGTAATTCTCTTTTATATTTTTTTTGTAATTTGACACTTAAAATCACTTTTTAAAAAACTTGATCAAACAAAAATTATTGTTCAAAAGTGCTTTTCAAATTGATTAGTCAAAACACAAACTGCTTTTCTCCAAAAGTAATTTTTAAAAAAATACTTCTCAAAATAAACTGATTTTTTCAGCTTGACCAAAAAGACTATTAGTCGGCTGTATAGTATCTCTTCATCTCTCACGACTTAAATCAAATTTAGTTTATTGTGTTCTTTTTCTTGTGACAATCAATCCCAGTGTACTTTTATTTTTCTTCTTCAAAAGGGTTTGTACACTATCGTAAACAATGATTATTGTCATATTAAATACATTATCGGTCTAAGTTTTAATAGAATCCCTATTTACCTGATTAGGTATTTGTATGTTAATTGTAGGGATAAATATGAAATTTGAGAAACCACTAAAGAAAATAGATAGATATATTTTATAAGGACGATCTCACCTGGATTGCGAGATGCATAATTTATTGATATATTGATTGCATTTGTTCTATTTCATCCATCCTTTTTTTTTTAGATCTATCTTGAACTTTTTGGAACCAAAAAACTTATTGAATAATATATTATGATAAATGAATGAAACGTAACCTAGCTCTTTACATTAATCATATGCAGTTTATAGTTGACCTTTAGTACATATAATATAATGTAACCTGAGGAGAAAATTTGCAAATAAAAGAAATAAGCGTTAAGGAATGTCTTAGCCGATAACGTTCAAATCAACAAGTCAAGATCAATATAAAATGTGGCTGTCAAAACCAACAATCTAAGAAAATAATCTAATAGCCTGTATGGCCAGCTTTTTCAAGATTAAAAGCATTTTTTTGTCCTTCAAATTTTTTAAAGTTGAAGTGTTTAAAAGAAAAAAAGTATCTTTGAGCATAAACAGATTTGGAGAAGTAGAAAAAAATAGTATCCCAAAATTTTTTTTTCTAAAAAGCACTTTTGAAAAAAATAATTTGAAGCACTTTTTAAAAGTTTGGTCAAACAGTAATTGATGCTCAAAAGCTTTCAAATTAATTAGCCAAAAACAAACCGAGGAGATAAATCACTTTTACTGATATTAAAATTTTGGTCAAACAGGCTATGTTGGTGGCACCTCACGTTTTCTCGCATATTAATAGTAATATTAACTAAAGCCAGAAAAATTGCAACTATTAACGGAATACATGGAGGTTGGCCAGACTTTTATTACTTTTTGATTAAAATTCATTTTTATAATCATCATTAGAGTTTGAGGTCAATCCTTTCCAGCAATGAATCTAAACCAAACAGGAGAACACGTCTTTTGTGGTTGGCTTAACGAATAACCAACAGTTGTTTGATTACTATATAGCTAATTAATTTTTATTCAACTATATAATATATTATCTAATCCATTGATAAGAGCTTGAAATGACGTGTTTCCACAATTTATAAGCTTGGACTGACGTGTTACAATAAAAGTTTGCAATTCGGACATTATAATTATAATTATAAGTATCAGTATTATTATTATTAGTAAAGGAGTATATACTTAGCTTATGAAATTTGAATTGTGAAATTCAACGTGATGAAAGTTGTAGAATTCAACAAGCAAATTTTCAACTAAAAATGTCGTCCTTGGCCGTACAAAAAACAAATCAGGGGACAACTTCGTGTCACTACTTTCAGGTGGGTGCGTAGAGCTTGGTTAATTAAATGTTCAACTTGATGATGCTTATTCATATAATTATTTATCTTTAAAAAAAAAAAATCTGCAAATTTGACTAATGTCAAAACTCAAAAGTCAAATCTGTAAAAACCAAGATTAAGTGAATGCATGCTTGATTGACCGTATTCTTTTGCCTAAGGGTCAGGTTAGCTAACCGGTTTAATCATACGTCAAATGAGTTTCTCGTTCATAATGTCCATAATTAAAGGTTTCGAATGCGAGGGTAAGTGCACAAACCACGAAGTGATATTTAGAGATTAGTCTGTACTTATTTTGTTTTAAAATTTTGAACTAAAAATCTTAACTTCAACACAATTCATGATATTATTATCCCGAAAAATAAACTTGAAACTGAAATTCAGAACACACCGGCTAATTCTTATATAATAGCCCTTCAGAATAGCTACCTTATATCATTTCTACGAATTCGGGTTCTAAAAATTAAAGACATTTTAATATAAAATACTTTATCCCTGGATAGATATATTCAATGCGAGTTCCAGTTAGTCGAACCACTAGCTTTTGAATATCCTCTCTATTTGGGTTTAGAGACTGGGTCCAAAGGTTGCTTCTAGCTTATCTGCTCATTGGTAAGTTGTTCAAATTGGCAATAGGTGGCTCAATCTTCTAGCTAGGATATATATTCAACTTTTAGTTCCAGTAGGTTCGACGTAACATGATCATACATTTAACTAAAGTTTGGATATAAATTTGGCGAAGACTTAATTTTTTATTTTAAAGTTATCTTGAAAATTAATTTTTAAAAGTTTAAGTTCTATTTAGACATATATTTTATTTGAAAAAAAGCTAATATTGTGTGTGTGAAAGAAATTTACCCGAAAACTGCCCAAAACCGGATTTGGGAACTTGAAAAATAATTTTAATTTTTTTAAAAAAATTGATCATATTCCACAAATAAACAATATTTAAAAAATAAATTGAGAAAAAATTACCCAAATCTATGACCAAACAAATAACTTAATGTATTCCACATGAATTCATATATCATTGTGTTATTATTTTTTATTACAACATACATATTTAGAAATTATATAAAAATTAATTTCCTTTTGTAGCTCAAAATATTAACAACAAAGTGCTTTAAAACATTTTTAAAAAAAAAGAAGTGATGTTTTAGATTGGTGAAACACCACAATGTGCTTCCGTATTACTGATAAGTTGACAATTACTGTAATACTGTCCAAATCAAATGAATATGTCAAACCAAAATCTACACTCCAATTGCTGCAGCAACCGACCAAGAAAAGTCAGAAAAAATGGAGTAAATTTGATCTATTTTACCCGAAAACATGGCATCCGAAAGAATAGGTAAAATGTTGTAATTCCCTTGGCTCTCATTACTTTTGCCACCTTTTCTTTGCTCTACTCTTACATATAAGTAAAGCTCTTTGCTGCTGAACTCATTCTCACAGCAAAGCTAGCCTCAGCTTGAAAAGGTCACTTCTTTCATATTCTCTCTAAATATTTCTCTCTTTCTCTGTATGTGTATTTGTACTTTTAGTTTCTGTGGCGGTGCAGACAAACTGACTCAAATAAAAAAGAGATAAGGCTCACTATTCAATGTTGGGAAATGGGTGAACTTGCTTATGCATTCAATTCGCAGACATACGTAGAGGCGGACCCAAAATTTTAATGGACGGACACCACTATTCTATTCAGCCAGTACCCTAAAGGCTTTTAGTATTCAGGGTGTCAAGTGTATTTAAATTAATCATTTTCAAGATAATATACTTAAAAACGTACAAGATTTCTATCGAAGTTTATGGGTTCCGCTGAAACACATAGGTTACACATAGGTCCGCCTCTGCACAAATATATTGATAGTGTCGCAATTTAAAGTCGGGTTCAGGATTTTAACTTGGCAGGTTCGACCTTTATGTTTTCGCCACTAGACATAAATTCAATTTATTCAACTAGTGGTTCAGTAGTGGTTTTTTTCAAATACATATCTATAATGCCGTGTAAAAGATACTAGTTTCAGTTGAACCCGTTAATTAGATAGGAAGAATTTGTCTAGTGGTAGTGCATGAACCTTAGGTTCCAAAGTTGTTAGTGCAACACTTAGACCACCACCCTCTATAGAGGCAATCTTCATTTTTGTAATTTAGTTTCAACGATGCATTGGATTCTACTCTATTTGCTTATTTATTTATTTGATGATGATGCCTTATTCTTGGCCATTTCGTAGCTTTGTTTCTTATCTTGAAACGCTTTGTTCTGAAATATTTTATTCATGTAAAGCCGTTTGTGGAAGATTGTGATATGGACAAAAGGCTGACATATCTAATTTTTGGCTCTTTTTTATTTGGATTTTTATATAGTAGTTTAATATGAACTGATATAAATATAGCAGAATTCAACTGGGGTTGCTTTTACCTGGTCATTTCTTTAGACGTGTACCTTTCATGGAGGTATAACTATAAAAGACTCCAAGAAAGTGTGGAGAGGAGGAGCCCTTTATTATCTAAGAGCTGTTTTCCCTTTGTCTTCACTGACCCTTTTCAGAGGTAGTAATTTCTTCCAATAATTCTGTTATATAGACTACTTGTTCTGTTCTTGAATGCATTTGAGTGAAATGTAAATATTCCTATGGTTTAATCTAACAAATAGGATGCGGTTTTATGTTGTGTTGATTGCGTGAGTTCACATGATCTAAATATGCCAGGGATTAGCTGGTTGAGTGTTCAAATTTTGGATCTTGGTATTTGGTTGTTAAAAAGATTACAAAGTTAGATGATAGAGATTTGTGTTCTTTTTGCAATGCTGTGGATTTTGAGGCTGTCTGCATTAAGTTGTCTTTTGTTTCTAACTTTTTGACACATTGTAGGTTTTGGATTGTGATTTAAACAGCCTGCATCTTAGATAGAAGTCTAAATTCTAAAAAAGATGGTAACTTTTCTTTTTTCTTTTCATTTTTTTTTGGTTGAGATATTTGAGATTTTGAATTGGAAGCTTGCTTTTCAATCTGGCTATTCATATTATCTTTCTTCCGAGCCCTGCTGGCTATTTCCGTATTTATTTGCTGTACTTGGCAAGAATATGTGCCATTAACCCTACTGCTAACCATCATTTTAGCAAAGACAATGTGAAACCAGTATCTGACGTTCAAATTTTCCAGGTTCTGTTTAATAGTGATATAATATGTGAAAGTTTTAGAGATTACTTCTCTGCATTCACTTTTGTAGACTGGCTGATTACTAATGAGTGAACTTTTTAAGGAAATGCGTCAGAAATGAAAAGTGGCACAAAAATTTGAAATTCACAGTATTCCAACCCCAAATTAGAATGATCCCAAATTTGAAATAATTCAGTCACTCTGATCGTCAAGTTTATTCACATGTGATGCGTTTTCTCTTATAGTTGGTCACCTGCACTCTAGTTGTGTCAGTTTCAGCTGCTGCTTTATGATTGCTCCTTTTTGTTTCTTAATAGTATTTTCTCATCTGTCTTACTATGAATGGTTGTATCAATTTCCATCATTAAGCTCCTGTCCTTAGTCCCATGACTACCTTATAACTCTGAAGCAAAAGCTGATTTACTTGAGTCAATATTATCTAGAGTGGTCCATCAGGTTTGCATCTGATTCGGTATCGTAGATGATTGTCAAATCCTCTTCCTATCCTTTTTCTGACACTTAAAGAGGATTATTCTCCAATTTCTTGAACACCTTCCACAAAATCAGTAATATTGGAAGATAATGTTTAGTGGAGATTCTTGATACTTTTTCAAATTTTGTGGTGATGATGGGGAGAGAAAAGATTTTAACTCTTTATTTATGTATAACATTGTACGCATCTTTCTTAGATTTTGCCTGTACGTTTAAAAAAAACAGTTCTGATAGTGTCTTTTAATTTCTCAGGCAATGCCTTTCAGGGAATTCTTCACTGAATATGGTGAAGCACATCAATATGAAATCCAAGAGGTTGTTGGCAAGGGGAGCTATGGTGTTGTTGCAGCAGCAGTTGATACTCATACAGGAGAGAAGGTAGCGATAAAGAAGATCGATAATGTTCTTGAGCATGTCTCTGAAGCCACCCGCATCCTTAGAGAAATAAAGCTCCTCCGGTTGCTTCGGCATCCAGATATTGTAGAAATAAAGCATATTCTGTTACCTCCATGTCCGAGAGAATTCAAGGATATATATGTTGTTTTCGAGTTGATGGAGTGTGACCTTCAGCATGTAATTAAGGCCAATGACAGTCTCACTCCTGAACATTATCAATTCTTTTTGTATCAGCTTCTTCGAGGTCTAAAGTTTATGCACACAGGTGGCGATTCCTCATTGAACACATTCTNAGCATATTCTATTACCTGCATGTCCGAGAGAATTCAAGGATATATATGTTGTTTTCGAGTTGATGGAGTGTGACCTTCAGCAAGTAATTAAGGCCAATGGCAGTCTCACTCCTGAACATTATCAATTCTTTTTGTATCATCTTCTTCGAGGTCTAAAGTTTATGCACACAGGTGGCGGTTCCTCATTGAACACATTCTAGTATTTTAGTTAGATTTCTCTTTTACATCTTTTATGACCTTTTTCCTCGTTTATTGATTCAACAGCAAACGTGTTTCATCGAGATTTAAAGCCAAAGAATATTCTAGCAAATGCAGATTGCAAGCTGAAAATTTGTGATTTTGGGCTTGCTCGGGCATCATTTGGAGAAACCCCGTCAGCTATTTTCTGGACGGTATGAAGCATTTCTCTACTTTAAAGTTTCTTGATCTATCTTAACCATAACAGCGGAGTCAAAAGGTCTCAATGCTATCATTAAATTGTCAAGTTATTACACCTGTGATGACAAGACCCTGATTCTGTTATGCTTTCAAGAACCTCATACTTCTCTTTTCTCTTCACAAAATTTTCGTAGTCTCTCTCTGTCTCTCTCTCTCTATATATATATCTATATATATATCACAACACAATTTTTGCTTTTATTCCAAGGAAAATTCTTAACTCCTTTGCTCTTTACAGGACTATGTGGCAACTCGTTGGTACCGCGCTCCAGAACTTTGCGGTTCTTTTTACTCAAAAGTAAGTATGACATTTATAGGTAACTTAAATGCTTATATAGTTTGTTTCTTATCCAGTACACTTCTCAAATGACTTTTTCATGTTAATAGTAGATATCTGTCTTCATGTGTTACTTAGCATGCGGAGTTTGACCGGGTCAATATTCTATTTTGTGATTCAGCGGTGGCACTTTAATTTCTTCAAGTTTTCTTATTCACTCTTATCTTGTTATTAGGAGGGAAAAAGAGCTGAACAGGAGCACTTTTGGGGCCTTGGTTGACATTTTTCACAAATTTTACGAACGGAAACTCTTATTTTTTGTGTGCTCTTTCCTTATCTGAATTCGGTTCTTTGCAATCTTCATCTCTGAGTGGTGTAATCATATGATAAATTGATTCTCGGTAGGTGATGACTGAAATCCTGCAAGTGAGGAGTTCTACCCTGAAGATGAGCCTATTCTTATCTCACATTTACCCAATGGTTTTTCTTAAATAATCCATAAGTATTTCATTAGAGTACCAAGTTGGCGTGGGAAAATGTACCAAATGAATGAGTCGCTTAGCAAAAGTCATCTATCAAATTTGTCCAACTATCTATATAATAAGAGCAAATCTCTTTCCAAATGAAACGAGTGAATATAAAAAGTTTCTTTTCATTCTTTCTGCATCCTTCTCACTATTGGATAATCTCATGCCTTAAGTTGCAGTGCTGCAATATTAAATTTTACTTTGGTGGGAAAAAAATTGTGTAAATCATTGGTCACTTATACTTACTTTATTATACTGTGATGTCTCATAATTTGGTATCAATTCTAAAACAAACTACTTATTGCAGTACACCCCAGCAGTTGATATCTGGAGTATAGGATGTATATTTGCAGAAATGCTTACAAAAAAACCATTATTTCCTGGGAAGAATGTGGTCCACCAATTGGATCTGATTACCGATTTGCTTGGTTCACCATCCACTGAAGCCATTTCAAGGGTTTGTCCTTCCCTTTCCTCAGTCAAAGTTAATAAACTAGTGATGTATAATGAATCTGATCTGTTTTCACGATATATGCAGATTAAAAATGACAAAGCAAGGAGATATTTAAGCAGCATGAAGAATAAATCCCCCATTCCTCTCTCTCAAAAATTCCCAGATATAGACCCACTAGCTCTAAGATTACTTGAGCGTTTGATTGCATTTGACCCCAAAGATCGCCCTTCTGCTGAAGAGGTAGGACTTAGTAGATTGTTGGACACTCATTGGAGCCTATGATGCAAGTTTTTATTTCTCTCATATTGTCCTATGTTAATCCCCTCTAGGCACTAGCACATCCATATTTCCTTGGTTTAGCAAACAAGGAGCACGAACCATCAGCTCGGCCTATTTCAAAATTTGAATTCGACTTTGAAAGAAAAAAACTGGCAAAAGAGGATATTAGAGAGCTCATCTACAGGGAGGTATGAGTTGGCAACCCATCTTATCTTTTCTTGACCTTCTTTTGTGCCTCCTCCTCCATCGTACTACAACATTGATTTTGCCCGTCACAGATTTTGGAGTACCACCCTCAGATGCTGCAGGAGTATCTTCATGGCACTGACAATACCAGCTTTTTGTATCCAAGGTACTGCCAACACTTCTCCTTATTTGTCCGTAGTCGTTGGTGGCTATGACCGAGAACTAGTTCTTTATAACGATTTAACTCATTGGTATGATCTTGTGAAATTGTCCATGTCTGCTTTTTGTTCACCTGCAAACAACAAACTAATTCCTTTGTTTTAGCACATATGTCTTAGTTATCATGCATTCAAAATAAAAATTTTCATCCATGTAATGCAATTGAAATTAGTACCATCGATACTGAATATAATTCAGTCCATGTGTTAACCTTTCATTTTGTTGAGTAACTATGTGGTACAAATACTTATGGCGTATTGAACCTACGTTTTGTGCATGTCTTATAAATTAATTGTTAGTATGTCATGCAGTAAATAATCAGATCTTCATCATGGTTCTACGGATGTAAAATTAGTGATGAGGCAGGCTAACTTGAGAAATCCTGCCTGCTTTTCTGACATAAGATGATATTGGCGTGACTTCACTAGCAATATTTAAGTCCTAAGGTATTCCATATGAGGAATAGGATAGATACATTAGTGAACATTAGACATTATTTCTGACGGACAAGTTTAAAAGTTCTTACCATTCAACTAAACAATATTGCTGTTGCACAGAAATAAACAGTGGATGGTCATGTAGCTATTAGCTTAAGAAATTGTGTTGAGAAGTGATCCTTTTCCCTATAGAACCAGTGGATTGCTTGTGGTTGCAACTATGGCCAGGGCTCATGCATGAAGCAGTGTTCTGTGTGCTCCATCTGGGTCAAAATGAGCTTCGAGAATAATTCCAAATTCTATCCCTAGTATTGACACATAAGCATCTTCTATCGGGCAGATTCAGTTACCATGCTTTGCTATGATCATTATCAAAAAGAATCTGCATTAAGTTGTATAACTATGTCTTAGCTTTTTATTCTGATAATGATGTCATTGAAGTAGTTATGCATTTTACTTGTTAGTCTGAAATATATAAGCTACACAATGCGCAACACTATGTGACTTTAATAACTATCCTATAATCTTACAAGTAATCATTTTGACTCAATCATCACATTCCTGATATGGGAGGATATATTATTTAGTTTTCTTTTCCTTTTTTTCCCGGAAGAGCTTCACCATTGAACCTGTTTAGGTTGACCAGAGAATTTCTAGTTTAGATGAATTTTAGGGACGACTAAGCAATTTTGTTCTGTCTGGATCAATATCATGATCCAACTTTTTCAACCCATAACAAGAACATAGGTAGGCTAATTATATCTTGAGTCTTCTATTATACTGCCCTTTACTTGGTCCGATTTGATAACGCTTAAATAAGTCTAAAGAAGCTTAAGTGACTCAATATACTTACCTTCAGAATCAGAATGATGGTAGCGTTTGCTTTGCTTTCGCCATTTTACTGAAGAGAGGTTCTCTAATAATTCTCATGATCTTTACTTCTGAAGTCTTCCCTGTTTCTGCTGCATGTATTTAGCATATTTTTTATGCTGTGCTAACATGATGTTCGATGTGCATATATATAGTGGGGTCGATTGCTTTAAGGAACAATTTGACCTACTTGAGGGGCACTATGACAAAGGTGGAAAAAATGTTCTCCATCCAAGGCGATATGCCTCCTTGCCTAGGTTAGTTGACCCTGATATTAAGGATTTCATACTTAAGAGCTTATTAGTAGTGTCTGATAAAGTGTGCTTACTCAAATAGCCTCATTAAATTTTTTCTACAGAGAGCGGGTCTATGTTTCAATAGACGAGGAAACTGATCACGATAGTGAATTTGAAAGGCATGTTGAAGCAACTGTTGCTCATAGATGCCTTCCAAGCCCCCCAAAGTCACACGAGCTTAACAAAGCTGACACTAGTAATGAAAATGTAGAGCTTAGTACAACAAGCAACACTGCACACTGCTTGCTAAGAAGTGCTAGCATTAGCTTTTCCAAGTGTGTTGGGGCAATTTGGGAGGACAGTGAGGTAAATTCCTTCTCATATATAGCATGTTAATCTTGCGGAAACAACAGACTCATAAAAAAAAGCACTTCTCTAGATATGGAATAAGGAAACTCAGTTTATCACATGGTTTCTATGTATTTGTCTATATGAATCATTCTCAAACACAACATGATAAAACGCTCTTCCTCTGCCCTTGTTGTTCCCTTCTTCTCCTTTATTGGGCAGGATGAGCAAATAAAATACATTAATCGACGAATGTATTGTTGGTTTGATATTTGTCACTAATTCTTAGCCGATAAACTGCAATTAGATGATTGATGGTGAGCATGATAATGGTGCTCTATAATTTACTGTATTACCTGCACTTCCCCTCAGGATACAACTTTCAAACGGTATGATAATGGGATTAGTAGATCGTCCAAGGAGCCAGCAGCATTGTTTGCTTGACTTCTTATTCTGGATGGATGAGCTGGTGCTAGATAGATTTCTGGTAAGTGACACTTGCTAGAATGTAACTGTAGGTGTTCTATTATTCAATGTATTAGAAACAATCGACAGTTTGGCTATCAAGATCAGCCCATTTCTTCTGTATGACGTTCTAGGCGTCGTCCTTTAGCCCTCTGCTAGTTTTATATGCTTTGACAGCATCTTCAAATGCCTGAGCAACTGTTATTGATGTATATATAGTCCACTCCATTTTATTTTCCGAAAAATTGTAGTTGTTCTTTGTCTTCTCTTTTTCTTAGAGAGAGGTGAAGTTGTGTAAGTCTTGCATCCTCTATGCAGAACTTGGCACCTATTATTCAAGATTTTAATTTTTCATGATTTTACATGAAGATTTGGATTTGAGCAAGTGTCTTTTTCTTTTTTGAGATTCATTGCTTACTTCTATCTTTCCTTTGCAAATGTCTCAATAATGCTCCTTACTACAGTAGAGAAATTTCTATTGCAAATTAAAGAACCTTAAACATCACAGGCAGAGGCGGACCCAGAATCTTTACGCGACGGGGCACAATATTCTGCTCAACCATCACATGTAGTGCCCCCTAAAGGCTTTTAATGTTTAGGATGCCAAGTGCTTTAAATTTACCATTGTATATACATATACAAGATTTCTGCCGAAGCTTATGGGGTCCGGTGACCTTTCACTATAACACATAGGTCCGCCTCTGATTACCAGATTCTAACACTTAAAAACTTGAGTCTCGTTAAAAGAGATAACTGTCAGCTTTGCGAACTGCATTAATTTTGCGTACTCGCGGATTTGCCTTTGCAGATATGTTTTCTTCCTTTGATATTTGGCATTTGAGGTAAGGATAGTCTACGACCATATAAAGAAATGTAACAACTTATTTAGTTAACTAATGTGAGATATTCTATCATTTGTGAAAGCTTTGAACACGTCTTGCATTGTTTATATTATGTTAGGTACACGTATATGAGGTGTCTTAGGTCAATTGAATTTAAACTTTAGCATATTATTTTTAATTAGGGCGAACCTTTTAATGATCAAACAACATATAATTATAGTTAACATCTTAAAAGATGCTAGCTTAAATAGTAATAGCTACCCGATTGAACAAAGGATTTTCAGTACTATGCATTTTATGCATTTCAATGTGCTAAATACCAAAGAGAAATCAATAATTTTAGTTGTACAATTTCTACCTGACTACACCCCCAAGATGAAAATGCATATAGTAAACCAATTTGCGTGTATTAGCCAAAAAAAAAAAAAAAAAAAAAAAAAAAAAAAAAAAAAAAAAAAAAAATTTGCGTACAATTTTTTTAAATAGTGAACTATGTGATGTTCAATAAAATATAGCCATCTTCAAATTGCACAATATTGTGGTTCGATCATCACATGCATTATCTGAGAAAAAGGAATCCAAATTATGATAAATCTTTATTTTTTTCGATCAACTTTAAAATGCGAGATACATACTAACTCTTTTAAACCACTCTTTAATTGTGTTAAAACTATTAATTACTAACCGACTCTAGAAACTATGCTAGCGACAGAACTGGAGTACCAATACTTATTTAGTCTCTTTACAAATCAGAATTATTTTCCACAGTTTGGAAAAAAAAGAACATAGTAAAGGTTGATCAGAAACGGGAAAAGAAAAGGTCAATTAGAATATACCATAAGTTGAGGGGCTGATGTGTACCGAATATAAGTTTGTAACTGAATCTGTTAGGTAGTTAGCTGTGTTAGTGGTAGTATAAATAGTTGGTTTAGATATTTTTGTAATTAAGCTCACACAATGTACATCCTGTCTCTCGATAACGGAATCTCTCTTCCTCTACATTCTTTCTAGTCAAACCATAGTTCATTTGCTTTTTTATTTTTATTTTTATTATGTTGTAAATTAGATAGAAAACTTGCGGAAGAGTAATAATGGGGAGAAATTCAAAAATAGACGGATTAAGTGGTAATTGAAAAATAATCACAATTTAGAAAATAATTAAAAATTAGCCACTTTTCATGTAAAAATAAATCTGAACGAAAATGCTGTTCAAAATCCGGAAAATATTCCAGCATAATATACTGGAGTTCCAGTATAATATACTGGTCTAACATAATATGCTGGAAGTTCATACACAAGTACTCCAATCTCCAGTATATGCTGGAACTTTCCGTGTGTTGGAGTTCCAGCATAATATGCTGGAAGTTCATACACATGTGCACCAATCTCCAGTATATTATGTTGGAACTTTTCGTGTTGTAGCAAAATAGTGACTATTTTTCAATGACTTTGCAAACGCTGACTATTTTTCAATTACCAGTGCAAAAACTGGCTAACCGGTCCTATTTTCACGTAATAATGCTAATAGAAAAATGAACCCAAACCGTTAAGGTACAAGTGGGAGGTGATCCCCTTCTGTTGAAGTTTTTTGGGATCTATCATCTATACTAGCCATTTGGATTCAACATTTACTTTTCTTAGTCATTATATATAAATTATGAATTGATTGTACACGATTATACATATATTATACATGAATTATACATATGTTATACATCCGTCCGTTATTTTTAATTTAAGCGATTAATTGCGGCTATTTGAGTTAATTTTCTATTTTTTAAAACATCTCCTCATTCAAGGCTTGAAGAACAAAGTCAAGCCCAATATGAAATGAACGAAATGTCCGTGCTTTTAACTGAGTGAAGTACACAAATAGCCCTTAAAGTAAATGGTCTTAAAAATTTTTCCCGCTTATCCCATGGATAAAATTTCAAGTTTAATAAGTGTTTCCCCTTGCTTGCCCCATGGACAACACTTTTAAGTTTTTACCTTGAAATTCTGCACATGGGGCAAGTGAGGGTCAAAAGTTAAAAACTACCCCAAAAAGGGTCATATTTCTGTGATTTTTTGTTTTTACGCAGCCCCATCTAGACCCTATTGGGCCTAATTAACAACAACAAATCCAGTATAATCCCACATAGTAGGGCCTGTGGAGGATAGTGTGTATGCAACCTTACTTTGTGGAGATAGAGAGACTGTTTCCACTAGACACATGTTGGGCTTAATTAATGTTTAATAAAGCGTAGAAATGACACCAAGTAGCCACTTTACAGGACTGAATATAAAAATTAGCCGGTGCGTCCTGGATTTTAATTTTTCATTTCAAATTTTCAGGACAAAATTCTAAATTGTCATGAAATTAAGATTTTTAGTTTAAAAATTCAAGACGAAATAAATACGGGCTAATCTCTAAATAGCATCTATAAGAATGACTATATGTGCATTTGCCCCTAATAAAGCAACCACAATTCTGAATTTGGGCTTCAGCCCACCAATTCTAGCCATATAACCCTGCTTCATAGATTACACAACACATGGGAGTGGGACATTTTAGGGGTTTTGGCATGGTATAACAAGATACCCATGTAATTGACAGAAAATAGTCTTAGTTATAGATATTGGCATCAAATAGCCAATAAATATATATCACAATAATAATATGCATATCACAATTTTTGTTTTTCTTCTTTGTCTATATCAACATGTATATTAAAATTTTATTTTCATTCTTTGTATATAAATAATATTATTCTTTGTATATCGATAATATAAAATTATATATATAATTATTGCTGCCTTTATATCAATGTATATCACAATAAAAATATTGTATTATTTGTATATCACAGTGTATAGCACATCAGACATGTGTATACCAAAATAGATATCATAAGTTTATTTTTCTTCTTTGTGTATATCAAAAATTAATTTTCTTTGTATACCAAAATATTATTTACTCTCGCAATTATATTTATTATTTTTATATTTTAGAACTTGCTTAAACATGCTATATCAAAAACAAATCTCTTTCTGATCAATAATTAATAATTATATTATTTGTATATCACAGTGTATAACATAATAATAATGTGTATATCAAAATAAATTATTAAAATTTTATTTTCCTATTAAAATTTTATTTTCCTTCTTTGTATAACACATTTCAGATTGAAAACTCAAGTTCAAGACGACTCCACATGTGTATCCCCTATTATAACTCGTGTATATCTCTATGTACATCAGTGGTATCTCATGTATATTATGTGTGTCTGTGTATATCCATGAAAATTTGGGTTATATATACGATATACAATGTGATATACACGGGCGTCCAAAAAGGAATTGTGTTGTATACACGATATACAAACTGATATACACAGGCATCCTTAAATACTTGTGTGAGATATACACTGATGTACACGATATACAACGTGATATACACATGTCGCAGTTAAATTTTTAGGTCTGATTTCTTTACCTGAAAACCAGTCTAAATCACTTATAATCTTGCTCAAATTTTGTATATAGCCTTGTTTAGGCATTTTCAACCAATTTCAATCACACCCACTCATTCAATCCAAACAAAAAAAGGAAGAGAGAAGAAAAACGAAGTTGAAATATATTTTTTCTCTTAGTTTTTGCTAATCTTGCTCAAATTTTGTATATAGCCTCATTTAGAAATTTTTAACTAATTTCAATCACACCCACTCATTCAATCCAACCAAAAAAAGAAGAGAGAAGAAAAACAAAGTTGAAATATATTTTTTCTCTCTTAGTTTTTGCTTCTGATTTTTTCTGATGTGAGATCAACCTTACTTTTTCATCCCACTGATTTTTTTTGCATAATTTGCAAGAATTTTGCTAAACTATGAGAGAAAAGAGAAGAGATAGAAGAAGAAATACAAGGAGAGAAAATGGATGGGAAGCCAAAATAAGCGTGTAATTTTTTTTTGAGAGAGAATATAAAAGAAAGTAATTTTTTTTAAAGATTTGGCTATATAATGCCAATTGTTTAGGGCTATCTTTGCCAAACCTAATATAAGGCTAAAAAATTGTCAAATTCTGTTATGTTTTGTTATAGGATGCCAATGTCAATTAGTCCATCAAACGTGAATGGTCATGATTTTTGCAGTCGTGTGGATTTTCTCTTCATATACATTTTAATATACTAGTCTTAAGGTACGCGCTTTGCGCGTGTATTTATATCATTGAATATATACTTTAAAAAATGAATATAAATATTATTAACTAATAGCTTGACTTATAAAATTAAAATTAAAGAAAAATGCAAGTTCTTGAAAATGATGACGGGTGATCCCATTTTGTTAGTTCAATAAAGGAAGGAATCTTGTCAATAGAAATCCTCATATACCTTATGATTTCTAAGAATTTCAATGGGAGTATCTTACGAAAATTATTGTTATTTCTATAACCTAATACTGAAAACAAACAAACAACATAAAATACTTTTATTAACGAAGATAACTCAAATAATTTGTGTCACACTTCCTTTTTTTTCGAGGGATAGAGAATTTTTTTAATTAAAGTAACATTATTCGAAATG